TTTGTTTGCAAAAAAAGCAAAACTCTGTACGATTAATTTTGCCATTGCAAAAACGGATCGCGCAAAGTTTTGCTTGTTTTTTTGCAAACAAAAATTACATAATTAAAATGCGCTTTACTGTGTAGATTGTAGAGCTTTTCACGCTGCCTATTGTGGCATATTTTGTTTTCTTAATAGAACGTATCAAGTGGTGGAAAAATGAAACGCAAAAGTGACCCATTTATTATGCGCCAACCATTATTTTTAGGACATGGAAAAATAAGCTTTCTAGAATGCTAGCCTATATATCTCCCTTATAATAAGGGATAGAGGCATGAAACTTTGGGGTAATATTCGCCTACTTACAAGGGATAAGATATCAGAGTTTGAGCATTTTTGAGTTTTCTATAAGGGAGAACGAACAATTTTTCTGAGAGGGCCCAAGACTTTTTCACCCTTTACTCATGAACCATTGAAACGAAGATTTGTTGGTTTGATAAATTTTTGCTTTAAAGACACATGAATACACAAGACATACTTTTAGTCTTCTCTAGGGATTATTATTTCATAAAATTTATCGATAGCCAAATCTATAGTGTTACAATGAGATCAAACGACATTGATAGAGTTGAATAATCGAATAAATTATATGCGATCTAACTTGGCAAAGACTATATTTAGCAAACGAAAAATATGAAGTAATCTTAACTTATTCAAGCACTTAGATCCTTTTTGAAACATTAGTTGATTAAAAGTCTATTTCCTTGAATAAATTTATCGTCTAACAAATATACCATTAACCGTTTGTATGCAACAGACAAATTATTAATTACTCGTCTGCGAAATTTCCCTACTGTTTCAGTTTGTTTAGTTGTCAGAATAGGTGTAATCTCTTGATTTTTATGACGTCAACAGAAAACAAATGTAATTACGTTTTGCTCAGTAACATAAATATTATTAACTAGTCACATGCATTTATTCTAGAGTACTATCATTTCCAAACGTTCATTCATTTCTGCTATCATATATAAAGATTCGTTCATTTAATCGAGAAACAACAAATCCAAGACATTCTTTCTCTTCATTATAGTTACAGATATCATGTCTACATTGGCAAACTTCAATCAAACTAGCAATACTACTATGATTTCGCCGTTATCGAATGGAAATCGATCAAATGATTCGAATATTCGACCGGGTAGAAACAATGATACTCATTCGGACAAGAACGTAGTAGATGAAAGTCTACAAGCCATGCTTTATCTTTTGACAACTCTTGCCATTCCATCAATCATTTGTTTTGTCTTTCTATTCTACAGTTTTATTTTTCTACCACATCTTCGTAGCAAAACCATTAATTTATTGATCATCTGTTTGTTGATTGTCAACTTCGTTCATGTAAGTTGTCGTTTTTTTATGCCCATTGTTCCTTCAATCTTTGAAAGAGAAAACGAAAATATTCTTTTTTTCGCTTTTAATTAAAGAACATCGCTAGATAAGATTATAAATCGGGCATCCCTCCCCTTAGGTTGCACTTTCAAGGAAATAGTAAGATAGAGCATGAAATTTAGCACATTAGCTTTTTGTTGAAGCCAAAAGATTGTCTGTTGGCTAAATAGTCTTAGAGGAATCTATTACTTGTGGACGTTTTAAATAATAACTATGGCACCTGTTATTTTTCTAATATACGCCCTGTATGAAAACTTTTAATGTAGACCAACACAGGCTTTCATGCTCCACAAAATGATGCATTGATCATGTTCATCGATTAGTCTATGCAAGGTCAGACAGATACAATTGTCCCTGTCTGGCCTTGCATAAACTAACCGCTGAGCATGATCAATATGTCATTTTGTGAAGCATGACACCCTGTGTTAATCGACGTTAATAGTTTTCATATTGAGTTAATAAAAGAAAATTTACAGATCCCATAGTTATTATTTGAAACGTCCAAAAGTGATAGACTCCTCTCAGAGTATTTAGTCTTCAAAAATTTTTCGCTTTACATTTAACAAGAGAAGTCAAGAAATAGACAGAAATATGCAGAATTTAATTCTATATTTTTTTAGTATATTGAAAGTAACACCTGAAGAAGTGAGAAATTTACGATCTTATCTTGCGGTATCCTTTATTTCTGACGTATATCCATCTTTAGAATTATAATCAAGATTTCTTTAACAAATTATGAAATATAAGTAAAAGAAATTTTTGATCGAAAACTTATCTAAATATCAATTATTCATATAGATGTTGGCTGAATTACCATTTCGTCTTTATTTTCTCTCTCAAAATCGAGTTCCTTTGTTCTATCCAATATTTTGTCTTATATGGACATGGTATGACAATATACTAACTGCAGCTGATCTCTTTATTATGGCATTCACATCTATTGAAAGATATCTTCTTGTATTTCATCATGTTTTTCATCGTCGTTACAAACGTTTACTCTATCGAATACCCATACCTACATGTATTTTATTTACAACTATTTGGTATACAGTTTTGACTTTTGGTTATCCATGCAAAAATTCATTTGGATATTGTAATTTTC